GATTAGCATTGTCGTATGATGCCAAGAGTTCTATGAAGGCACATGCAAATAGAATTCTCATACCTTTTCACATGTAGATCTACCGGAAAGACATAGTTGGTTTTACGCCTGGCGATCTCGGAATTGCGTGTCCCTCAGCCTTTCATAACATATGCTTTTGTCGTCACTATTTACTTTTAGAGTTGATCCTGTGTTGCATGTAGACCTCCTTTCAAGCGAAGCGCCTGTGAAGCAGGCCATTTTCTCACATTTGTTCGGGAAAAAAATATAGGTACTAGTTAGTATGTTTTCTTTTTCGAATATATGCAAAAATTAATATGTCGCACAAGACCTGACTGATGATCCACTTATTTTTCTGTCGCACAGGAGTGGCCCAGCAAATTCTTCCGAGCTGATGATCACTATCCCGGGTTGACGATCAGTATTCCGGACTCACCTTCGGTAAAATTTTCCGCATTAAATATATTACTTTATTATAGCAATCATGGCAAATAATGATCCCAAAACGCTTGCTCAGTTTTATGGACTGTTTTTATATAAGAAGAAGGATATATAATAGCTATTCAGGAGAAACTCGGTATTGGCCCTGGCAATGCAAATGAATTAGTAGTGCCTTCAGATTCCGAGCTCATGGGGAAAACACTTGCCGATTCTTACAAGCTATTGTTAGAATTGGTGGGGGATTTAATTCCGATACAGGAGAAACTTGGTATTGATCTCAATCCTGTTCTAGAAGTGGAACTTAGAAGGGATAAAACCTCTTCAGATAAACCAATTAGATTTTTTGATTTGCTTTTATCTTTAGAAGATGATATAGTAGTAATTCAGGATAAACTCGGTATTATTGGCTATACCAATCAAGCAAGGGCGGAAGAAGTCGATGAGAATGTAAGAGCACAACTACGAAAGCTTAAGGAATTTCACGGTCCCTTAGAAGATGATCCAGGTGTGATATTACCGAAATATGGTGAAATGGGGGTAAAGAAAATTCGGTTTACTGGAGAGGGGCTTCCATTATTTCCGAAGCTCTCTCCTCAGCAATTGCACGAAATATTCGTCAAAAATCCAGCTAACACTGATCAGTGCCCATGTCTAGAACAGGTTAGCTAATCTATATTTTTTGTCGTACAGAAGCACTGTACATGCATGTGGCTCAGCAAAAATCTAATTAATGATCATCGCTCTGGACTATTGATCTAGCCAACCCTGGATCGGAATACCACTGCAAGTTACCTCGACCTAAAAGATTCTGAAGACTCCGAGCTAAAATCTGTCTACTAACAACGTTGTTCTGTGTAAGATGATTTCTAACCAGTCCAATGAGATCAGGAAGCGTTAAAGTTTCCATAAAATTCTCTACATGGATATTTGGATTAAAAGAAATGAGCTGATCTACGGCTTCTTTGCTAATATAAATACACCCTTCCAAATTGAGATACTTTATGTTAAGACAAGATCTAGCAATTTCTTTGATAGTTATATCGGTAATTTCACAAAAGCCAAGGTAGAGATGCTGGAGCCTTGGGCAGGAACGAATAATATTGCAAATTGATTGTTCGGAAAATTCTGTATGGTTAGAGATATTTAGATATTCTAGTTTGTGGCATAATTCTGCGATTGCAGTTAGACCTATATCATTTTTCCCCGTAATCCCCGTAAAGTGGATATATTGAGATACTTCAAATTTGGGTATGATTTCGCTATTAGCTTTAGAGTTTTACCAATACAGTCCGTACTTCCTTCAAAATCTAAATGAATTATATTCTGGAAAGTATGCACAATACCTTTGATTTTTTTATTTGAAAGTGAATAGTAGTGTGTTATTTTAAGATGGGTTAGTTTTGAGCTATAAACTGGTTTTCTTCCTCCTCCGGGTATTATTTTTAAAAATCTTTCTAATCGAGTTCGATCTTCTTCTTCCCATCCTTTTAGCTCAATATGCCTCCATAGGATAGGGGCACCACATCTGTACCAAAGCCGGCTAACAAATAGAGCAGGGTATAGAGATTTATCTATCAATAAGAAATGTAAAATCTGCTCTAGTAATTCCTGTATATTAAAAATGCTTGTATGGACCATAAATAATATATGCTGTATCTTTAAACGAAAAAATAAAATTACACAATTACTGCTCCGGACTAAGCCTTTCCACTATGTCATCTAACGCAAGTGCTTGTAACCCATCCATAAGAACTTTTGTCTTATTCTCGGGTGATAATCCTCCGATGAATAGATTTTTAAGAAGCCATTCTGGATAGTCATTGCTTAAATTACACTCTTTCAGTTTCGAATAAAATTCCTTTACTATATAATTACCTTGAACTATTCTCCCAAATAAAAATTCCTTTCTTTTGGTCCATTCAAGATTAACCTCTCTTTCCCATATATTATTTATATTGCGGGCATTTTTTAGATCCCGTTCTGGGAGGTACTTTGAAATGGATGGTATTAGTTCAGGCGGAAGTTGTTCTAGCAAATTAACTGTATACATTTATATACGGTTAGAATATCTTTCAATCAAAAAAGTGAAATACAATATTGGAAAGCTTTCATCCTGATTGAAGGGTCTTAACTTTCTTTGGTCACGCCCTTCTTCGTTGCTTATGAGGGACAGCCTTTTTTTCTCTTACCTCAACCGAATCGGAATCTTCAGAAGACTCAGACGAATAGTAGGAATCCTTATGCACATTGCCTTTCGGCCCTTTTTTACTAATTAGCGAGGGAACTATTTCATGTATTAAGTTGACCACAGCTCCCCTATCTACACATTCGCCCAGATCATCCAATCCATCTTCCAATTCATCTTCCAATAAATTGACCTTCCTTTTAAGCTTTACATATTTGATATGATAATCTTCCAGTTTTTTTTCTAATGCCCAAATCTGTCCAGAGAGTGCTTTATATGCTCTTGTATTCTGCTCATCCAGTCCTAATGACTGGGCTAATTTCTCTGTATATCTGATTACTTCCTGCTCGCTGGATACGTCTGATGAATGATTTTGATCGGTTACCATTTTTACGATACTTTATATATGCTATATATTGCCTGGGCGAAAAAATAAAATTAATAAATGATACCAGGGTTACCGGAGGTAACGCTCTCCCGATCCTAATCATCTAACCCGTTTACAGTATGTGATTAGTTTTCGTCAAAGAACTCGAATGCTTTTGCCTGATCATAAGGTACCCCACGGGGCCTGTAATTGACTATAGTATAGTTTTTTGCAGGGGAGACATGGTTGTCTGCACTGTGGCGAAGTGCTTCACTAGCGATAGTCATAGCCTCTGATAAATTCTTTGAACCATGTGATACAACTGCAAATACTGCCCCTAATTTGCGTAAATAACTAGGGAGTAGCGGTTTACCTATTTCAGGGAGAAATTCATCTTTTTTTAGGAATGTATTGAACCATAATACGCCTGGCTTTCCTGGGTCTCGTAACTGTC